TTACTTATCGTTCACTGCGCGGCGGAAGAAGGGGAGAGTTAAAAAAAATAATAAGTGCACTGGATTTGGGTGTCCTCACCACAATGGAAGACGTAATAAGAGCACTGATGCATGCCACTGGTGTTAGTACTCACGGCAGAGAGTAAACTCTTGGCCCAGTGACAGGGGCCCTATGAAATAGTTGAATTTATAGGAGAGGTAAATTACAAGGTACGACAATCAGGATGTAGAAAACAAGAACAAGTGACCACATCAACCTTCTAAAACCCTGATGTACCCAAGAAGCGTGTAGTTGCTCGAATGGACCCACTGCAGGAGAACAAAACCCCCGAGCAGGTGAGGTTGTCTACAGATTTAACACCAGCCCAAAGAGAGGAGGTGTCCAAGATGATCGAATGGAACCAAGACGTATTCTTGTTTTGGCCAGGTCGAACAACTGAGACATACCATTACGGACCCCGGGGCCAAGGTGATGATGAGGCCTTACCAGGTGCCAGCGGTCAAAAGAGAAGAAATCAGAGCAAAAGTCAATTAAATGCTGGAGTTAGGGGTAATAGAAGAGTCCCACAGTCAGTGGTCTAGCCCAATCATGCAGTACCCAAACTGGATAACTCCACAAGATTCTGCAATGACTTCCGTTGGCTGAATGAGGTGTCCCAGTTCAACGCCTATCCTATACTCCGCATAGACGAGTTAGTGGACCGACTAGGAAATGCCCAGTTCCTGACCACTATAGACTTAACTAAAGGGTATTGGCAGATTCCCCTTGCTGAAGATGCAAAGGAGAAGACCGCTTTCTCCACGCCGGAGGGTCTCTTTCAATATAGAGTCCTCCCGTTCAGTCTGCATGGGGCCCCAGCTACCTTTCAGCACCTCATGGATAAGCTGTTGTGCCCCTATGCCAGTTATGCAGCCGCCTACCTGGATGATGTGGTTATTCATACCTCGGACTGGGAAACCCACCTGGAGAAGGTGGAAGCTGTCCTAGATACCCTAAGGCGTGCTGGCCTTACTGCAAACCCTGCCAAGTGCGCCATAGGATTAACAGAGGCTAAATATCTGGGCTACATTGTGGGGCGAGACATAGTAAAACCCCAACTCAGTAAACTAGAGGCCATCCAAAACTGGCCCCAACCGGTTCACAAGAAACAAGTCCAGGCATTTTTGGGGGTAGAGATGTACTATCAACATTTTATCCCCAATTTTGCAACCAGGGCAAGTGCCCTGACGGACCTAATAAAAGCTCGGGGACCTGAGATAGTACGATGGACTGACACAGCAGAGAGGGCATTTACAGATCTGCGGACAGCCCTTTGCAGTGACCCTGTACTTATAGCCCCAGACTTCACTAAGGAGTTAATCTTAGACAGACAGACGCATCCAAATAGGACTAGGGGCTGTCCTAACCCAGATGGTTGAGAAGAAGAACACCTAATCCTCTATCTCAGTAGGAAACTCCTCCCAAGGGAACAGAACTATGCTGTGGTCGAGTGGGAATGCCTTGCCATTAAGTGGGCCATGGAAACACTGTGATACTACCTGCTAGGGAGGCAGTTTGTCCTCATGATCGAGAAAAATGTGAGGGTGACCAGATAGTTCTTATCCCTCCAACCCTTCCAGTTCCGCATACAGCACAGAGCCAGAAGTTGCCATGGCAATGCGATGGCCTGTCGCGGGTACGTTGTATGACTACCCAAGTTGCCCAACCCCTTGGTGTTGAGCAAGGGAGAGGGATATGTGACGGACTCAGACCAAAAGGCTATAAATGGGTGGAAGGCAAATAAGTGGAAGGCAAATATATCAGCCTCAGGATGAGCAGGTCCCTGTTCCCTGGATAGCCAAACAAAGGCTACTCCAGGACAATCAAGACACCTGACGCCAATAACCAGTTAAGGTAGTTAGGCTAATGCAGGCACCTCACTCCAATTAATTGAAAAAGGGTCAGCTAAGGCCATTAGACTAATGGAGACAGCTGGAACTAATCAAGGTCCCACGCATAGTGCTTAAAAGTTCTCCTTCCAGTGCCCTCAAGAGAGCCCAGGTGGAAGGAGCTGGAGGAGAGGAAGCGTAATTGAATCCTAAGGTAAGGGTGCAGCTAGGAAAAGGGGACCATGGGGAAGTGGCCCAGGGAATCAAAGCAGCAGCAGTGATGAAGGGGAAGCCGCCAACAACTGCTGCTATTAGGGTCCCTGGGCTGGAATCTGGAGTAGAGATTGGGCCCGGGTTCCCCCCACCCCCTTGCTCTACAGTGACTCCTGAGAAGGGGAAGCAGGCCTAGGTCTAGGCAGGACTGCACCTACTGAGCTCTAAGGAGCAACAAAGACTGTGGGGTATTTCCCCTTCCCACTCCCATACTGGCTTGTGATGAAAGTAGCTCAATAAAGTTGAGACTTTTGCCGCTACACAAAGAAAGGGAGGTCACATTGAGGCCTTAGCAAGCTTCTGAGGCCACTGAATCCGCCTGGAAGCGCGGGACTCACCAATACAGGCTCGGAACTTTGTCACAGTGCCCATTAGCTATGAAATGTTTTTTTAATACACATTTTGGAAAGTGAAAACCCAGAATGGTTCCATTTGATCACAAAATTCAGCCAGACGGTAAGATGAATAGCCATCATATATCTGACAGATATCAAACTTATTCAGAGATGACTTTTTCACTGGGGCAGTGGTCCCACACTCAATTACTTCTAAACACTACATGGCACACGTCCCATTGCATACAAGTCCCATTGTATGCATATTGTCAGGTTATACATATCATGAAAACTCATATTCACAAGGTAGTTCAAGGACCTCTGACTTAATGATGGCACCAATAAATGCTGGTCTTGCTTCCTTTTTAATGCTGTTTGTAGGGAAGCATATTCACTAAAGGATTTGGTTTTGACCGCATCTCCATTGGGGAAGTCAATATCCCCTTTCTCTGCGGCTTGCAAGTAAATTTTATACCTAGACCTGTGTACTCAGAAGCACCAATAGAGATCCACACGAGGAAAGGGAACAAAAATAGCAGGTGCCAGTGTTGATGGACCTGTATGCTTCCTTTGATGCTAGCATCAACCAGTTGATAGTACTCAAACACTTACTAATCATATATAATGGTTTTGTGCATGGGATGTGGGTTACTAAACAAGCTAGTTCCCAACCCCTGTTGGAGAGAAACCTGCTATCGAGGCAGTTAATCAAACAAGAAAGACCAAAATAGGTGAGAGAGCCCCTTTGTGAATAGCACAATACACACACACACACACACACACACACACACACACACACAACTAATT